ACAACCGCCATATTATAGTAACATACCATGTGTGCCTCGAGGATATTTAACATAGAGAAAATGGTAGGACTCATTATTTATTTTTAAAATTTTGATTCAATATACCTGCAATTTCAGTAGCAAGTTGGGCTGCTTTCTGCTCAAACAAGTCTTTCATTTGCTTAATATTAAAAATTTCCATTTGGGCTTCTTCTAATTGTTGTTCCAATGACTGTAGTTCTACAAAACAGTGTGGCAGTCATTCAAATACAATGTTATTTACATTAATTAAGTTCTAATTATTTATAGTCATTACAGTAGTTATAACAACCAATACGAATGCGTCTTATAACCAGTTACCAAAAAAGTACAGCATTTTCATATCGCAAAAGTTGGGCATGACGGACTCATTTAAGGTATAAGTCATAGTTTGCCAACACTTTAAACAAATTAAAGGGCAGTTTAAAATTTCCCATACTAACTTGTAAATATCTGCTTAAAGTTATTTTGATTTCACATTTGAGATATTTTTCTATATCTGGCCAAAAAGGAATGCTTTCCAATTCTCTGAAAAAAATTAGTTTGGAAGTGTGATGAAATTACAAATAGCTTAATAATGATTGAGACCTTGAAATAAAATAATCAACTCAAAAAAGGAAAAAGATTTCAGAGTGAAATTAAATGTAATAAGTAACTTCAAAACATAACTTTAAGCATTCTTCCAGTAAAATAGTGCACAGAAGCAAGCTCCCATATTCTATTTCTAGGCAAGAGGAGTATCACTACTTAAAAATGACTTATTCTTACATTAAACAACCATAATAACTTAATACACTAGACGCTTATTTCTAACTTCAAAATATAATACACTAAAGAACAGTAAAATTTTAGTTGACTGCTTAAATTATAAAGTCTACAGGTAACTTAGAACTTATAATACGACCATTATGTTTACTCATTTGGAACCATAAAAATATAACCACATTAAAAAAATAATGTAGAAGGTATCAAAAAAAGAGGAAAGAATTATATATATACATATTTGCTTTAAATACTTACCTGCTGATGAATCAGCCACCAATCCATCAGGTTTGGACTCCTCAAAGGAAAGAGATAAAAACAAACAGATTAAAAGAAAGAGAATACTGCTATGATTGTCAGTGTTATAAATCTCTGAGAGTCAGTGTGTCGAGTCAGCAGTAAGAATTTAGTGAAAGTAAGAGTCAAGCCAGCTCGCATTCTTCCAGACCGCTGAGGTACTATACCCAGGCAGACTGATAGTGAACTACCTGCAATTTACTGGTTCTGAGACAGGATTAAGGGTATAAAATTAATATGGGTGTTAGAGTGATGACATTTAAAATCTATAAAATCAGTAATAAATACAGAATATAAATTATAAAATATAGATTCTTATCAGTACAAAAAGATTCTATCTTACAATATTTGAAAAGGTTCATATGTCATCAAATAAGCACTAAAATGAATTTTGCAAGTGCACATTTTTGATTCAAGATTTTAAGTCAACTTTAAAAGAAACAAAAAAATTTTTTTAACATACTTCATGTTTATAATTCATCATATATATTAGAAATAAAATAGTATGCCATTTTGGCATTATTCTCATTTAAAGAATTATACATACTTGAAATCTGTTAATAAGGCATCATACCTGATTTTTTATTTTCTTATATAATTGAATTAAATATATTAATGGCTAAGAATCATCAAAATTTAAAATACATGTTCCCCCAAAGGTAAGTTTCCTTCCAAAATAATTTATACATT